CTTGCGGCCCCATGGACTGCAGCACGCCAGGCTCCTCTGTCCACGGGATTCTCCAGGCAAGAATACTGGAGTGGGTAGCCATTTCCTTTCCCCAGGGGATCTTCCCCATCCAGGGATTGAACCCAGGTCGCCTGCATTACAGGCAGATTCTTTACCATCGGAGCCACCAGGGAAGCTCATAACAATAAGCTTTATAAGCTCCTAAAAATATAAAAGCTGAACCACATGGAGGAACTTGGGGAGCTGGTTGCCAAGGGACAGCAGGCTCTGTGCCCCCAGTTCTCAGAGCGTCAATCTCGGGCTGGTCTAAGAGGTCTGTTCTTCTTACGTGTAGCTCTGACTTGGGGCAAAGGATCTGACCGCTTCTTACATGGAAGTATTTTACCACCTACTTGGGGTGACTCCCCACCCTGTTTTAACATTTCTGCTCAGCCTAAGAAATCTCCCCCTTTGTTTTCTCAGAAAATAAAGGCAGGTTGTTATGCTTGTTCTTAGCAACTAGATGGAAGCAGCCCACATATGTGAAGTAGGAATTAAACGCTAGAACTAGGATTCAATTTTCATGTAATTAAGAGCTGAGGAAGAATCTAAGAGGAACACCCTAGATCCCAGCAGTGTCTTGGGGTGTCCACCACACACCATGGGCTTTCTCCTTGCCCTATTGGGATTCATTTGTGGGCTTCCTATTATCCTGCTCAGCCAAGCTCTCTGAAAACAGAGGGTGATGTTCATCTCTGCATCCCCAGGACCCAGTGCTGGAGCTGGCTCGGAGCACAGCACCCCAGTACCCACACATAATGAGAAAGCCATTTCCATTTCATTGAGTTTCCACCCATTGAGTTTAGTCAAAGAAGAAAAATCTCTGCTTGTTGCTGGTATATTTTTAACATCTCTTTTCATTTTTCCTCCCTTTTAAGCAGGCTTCGGTGGACACAACCTCTCCCTCAGTGATTAACTTATTTTGTTTGGCTTGTTCTTATTTTTATTGTTAGCTTCTACTGGAGGCAAGGCAAGTGCAAGTGAAATCTAACTTCTTTGAAAAAGATGATGTTTTTAAAAACTGAAAATGAGCCTTTTGCAGAAAAATATTAAGTGAAAAAAATAATACCAGGGACTTTCCTGGTGGTCCAGCGCTTAGGACTCCACACTTTCAACTGCAGGGGGTGTGGGTTCCATCCCTGGTGGTAATTAAGATCCCACATGCCACGCAGTACGGCTGAATAATAATAATAACAGTAGAAGTGGATATGGCAAAAATTATGACAGTGGTATATAAATGATGGATGCTTGGAAGACAGAGTCATATAGCTGGCACTTGATACTTGCTAATTTAATGGATTAATGGATCTCTCTCACACCTCCCCTCTTCTTTTGGTGTCTCTAACTTCCATGCCAGATCTGGCTCTGTCTCTAGTTTGATGACTGCATTTATCTCCTATTCTGAGCTGTCTTCCTTCTTCCACCTTCTGCCCACACCACCTCCCCGCCCCAATGCGAGAGCCTGACCTACTAACATCCCATGGTTCCCTCTTGCTTAGCAATAAAGTCCTAACTTCAGACTTTCAAGGTCCTTGATAACCCGGCTCAGATCTATTTTCCAAACACATTAGCCCAAGCTCTTCTACATAAACCCTGTGGATATTTATGACTCCAAGAATATGCCTTGTATCTTCTTGATCCAAAGACTTTAAGTGGAAACCCCTCAGATTCTTACTCATCTTTTAAGATCCATCAAACCCTCCTCCCTCCGTGAAGCCTTCTTTGTTCATCCCATCTGGGGGTGGTCTGCCTCTCCTTGAAGCTCTGACAGCATTTTGCCTGTGGGGAAATATTGATAGCATGTATACCTTATATTTAATGTGTTCCTTCAGTGTTTTCCTAAGTGCCCTGTTTCCACTTTTAGATTGCAGTTTCTCAGAAGGCAAGAACTAATTCTTATACATGTTTTTGTGTGTGTGCTCAGTCACGGCTGACTCTCGACCCCGTGGACAGTAGCCCACCAGGCTCCTCTGTCCATGGGATTTCTCAGGCAAGAATACTGGAGCGGGTTGCCATTCCTTCCTCCAGGGGATCTTCCCTATCCAGTGGTCAAACCCATGTCTCCTGCACTGGCAGGTGGATTCTTTACCCCTGAGCCACCTGGGAAGCCCATATATCTTTCTTGCTGTTGTTATCAGTTTCTCAATGGTGTCTGACTCTTTGCAACCCCATGGGCTGCAGGACACCAGGCTTCTCTGTCCTTCACTATCTCCTGCACTTTGCGCAAACTGATGTCCATTGAAGCGGTGATGCCATCCAACCATCTCATCCTTTGTCATCCCCTTCTTCTCCTGCCCTCAATCTTTCCCAGCTTCAGGGTCTTTTCCAATGAGTTGGCTCTTCGCCTCAGGTGACCAAGGTACTGGACATCTTTCTACCCTACCCTAATTTTGTTAACTAAATACCTTACTGACTGAATTAAAAAACAAATGGGGACGTTTGGGAGTATGCCGAAGGAAGGAAAAGCAGAAAATCAACACACTGCTTACAAATGCTTCCTCCACTGAGTACATGAAACTCAGCAGAAAGAAAAGCTCTCTAGGGATTGGGATGTGGTGATTCAGCCAATTTGTTGAAATCTACCTCCTTTAAAAAATGATATGTATAACACATTTTTGAAATGATATATAATAGTAGTAAAAAAATTTTTTCCAGTGAATGTTGTTTATGTCAAAGTGATAGTTGCTCAGTCATGTCTGACTCTTTGCTACCCCTTGGACTGTAGCCCACCAGGCTCCTCTGTCCATGGAATTCTCCAGGCAGGAATACTAGAGTATTCCTGCCATTCCCTTCTCCAGGGGATATTCCCAACCCAGGGACTGAACCCGAGTCTCTTGCGCCTCCTGCATTACAGGTGGATTGTTTACCATCTGAGCCCCAGGGAAGTCCCAATATTGTTGATAATCTAGTCCGAACCCTTCCATTTTAGAGGCCAACATATTGAGATAATACCATGAACATAATGTCTGGACAAAGATAAACTTATTTGTGACTAGCCCAATGTTCACACTACAAATATGGTAAAAATGGCCTATTGGTTCTTTGCAGACTGTGTTTCAAATCTGAGGAAATCACACCCTTTAAAATTTCCTCCACCTAGAAAGAGCCATGAGCAGTAAGAGCCATAATTGTGCTATGAGGTCTGCTCCGCCGGCTCTGATATTTTTGGGTCTTTATAAGAACAGTGGAGCAAGCTTTCTCTGGCTTCTTATGCTTACCATCCCTTTCAGGTGGAGTGATATTACCATGGAACACATTTCAAAGAAGACCCTCTACAGTAGCTGCCTCTGACCTCTAATGTTGCTTTGTTTCACATCGTATGCCTCATTAGAAAAATATCGATACTGAAATGGCAGTATCATTAAGTAACATTCGCAGGTCAAGAACTATTCAGCAAAAAAACACATAAGACAAAAACAGAAGAGATTATCTTGTGACTTACTTTTGGACTCAGTGAAATTTTATTGGCGTGATATGCCAGAGAGATGGGTCCCTTTTTTTAAAGAAACACCAGTAATCACGCTTACAACTCTGGGCTGGAGGAAATGTTTTCCTTCCTGACCCTTACCTGGTGAGAATTCCCTTTCACTCCATTTTATACCTGAAATGCAGGAGACACGGGTTCAATCTCTTGGTCGGGAAGATCCCCTGGAGAAGGGAATGGCAACCCACTCCAGTATTCCTGTCTTGGAAATCCCATGGACAGAGGAGCCTGGTGGGCTATAGTCCATGGGTCACAAAAAGGTCGCCAAGACTGAAGGACTAGCACATTCCATGTTATACCAACAGAATTGAGGAGGTCCATTCTCAGGCATGGCATTTAGGTTACATGTGGACAAATTCTCTCGGTAACCAAAGGCTGGGAAGGATGACATGTGAGATCAGAATCCTTTTGCAGGGTGTTACCCAGACAGATGCTTAACAGCCATCTTGGTCTGTAGCCCATGGGGCCAAGCCTTGCAGGGGAGGGTCTAGAACAGGTTTGGGTTGCTCTATGTTCAACAGTGGCAATCTGGTCCCGTAGGTGGCACTGAAGAAGTGAAGTGAAGTCATTTAGTCGTGTCCGACCCTCTGTGACCCTATGGACTGTAGCCTATCAGGCTCCTCTGTCCATGGGATTTTCCAGGCAAGAGTACTGGAGTGGGGTGCTATGTTCAGTATGTGGCACTTGCCTGGGTGAAGTCCACAAACATTGCAGCAGTGCTGACTTGACTTCAGAATGACCTCAACCTTTAAGGAAATACAATTTTAGGAATTTTACTTATTCTTCTGGAGTCCTCAAGCCTGGGGTAAAGCCAAGGGTAGGCTGGGGCTCTGAGGATGCTATTGCCAAAATAGGGTCCATGGGTTTCACCTGGTCCTCCAAACCTCAGTCTACAGGGTCAGACCATAACAGTATTGACCACAGCATCCTTGGGGCTGTGTTTTCTGGGTTTTTAATGATAATTAAAAGAATCCATTCAAACTGCTGTACACATTTTTTCCCCCCATTATTGTCGTCTATTGGCGGCTTACTTGGTGTCAAGGAAAAGATCAGAAGAAGGTGCTGGTAAATTTCCATCCCCTTCCTGACTTTGCTCAAGCTTTTGTCTTTTACAAATGATCCCCACTGAATCTCTGGCCATTTCCAATGCCTTGTTTGTTAAAAGTCTCGATGAGTCAATGACATAGGCTAGGGAATTCGGAGCGAGAAAGGACTGCAGAGAGAGCTGGGCCAGAATTCCTCCAGAGTGTTCTGTGGATCTTTAGTCCTGAGAGAGATTCTATGGGGAAAAAAAGATATTTGGCACAATATATTTGGGAGAAGTTGTCTATTACCTCCTCTTTAAAGAGATTCACAAACCCTTTGGCTTATTAAAAGCTGTGAAGTTTTGTAGTAAAATTAAACATTTCTACCCCAGCATTTTGTAAAACTGTCTGGTCACTGAATCTTTTGAAGACTATCTCATCTTTTTTTTCAGAATGATCAAACTGCTGAACAGACCAGAGGGATCACGAGTGAGGCCAGATTCCCCATTTCACAGAGGAGAAAACTGAGCAGAGCTCAACTTCTTTCCACCTAACTCACACTGACCCACGAGAACCTCGGGTAAGTCTGGATAACAGGATTTGAAGCTGAAGAGAACTTAATCTAGCTTCATAAAAAAACAAAAACAAAAAACCCCACTGAACTCTAGGAATTTTACTTGATTTACTCAGTGTCACAAATTAAGCAGTATCTGTCTAAAATCTAGAATTTCCTCCTTTCTGCTTTCTCCTTCCCCATCAAAAAGTGCTCTTTCTGCTATAGGAGGACATTTTTCTGAAATTATTATAGTTTGCATGGCACAGGGGTAAAGGAGACACAAGAGACACAGGATTGTCTCCTTGGGTCCGGAAGTTCCCGGGAGAAGAAAATGGCTACCCGCCTCAGTATTCTTGTCTGAAAAATTCCATGGACAGAGGAGCCTGGTGGGCTGCAGTCCATGGAGTCACAAAGAGTCAGACACGACTGAGTGACTGAGCACACATTTTGCTTTATCTCGGGTTGAATCTTTTTTTTTTTTTTTTAATGCAGCAGAAACTTTTTTCACAAAACACCCAACCTACTTCCCAGCTGAATGGACCCTCTTCATCCTCTCTGGGAAAATAGCCAGGCTGCCCACAGTGCAAGAAACGCTCACTCTATCAAGCTACTTCCTCAAACCTGTTTATGTTAGTCTAACTTGGTGTTACAATTATGTAATTAAATTAAATATTATAGAGTGTTGGAATATGAATGCAGAAGAGCCATTTCTTTAAAATCCCTTTAATAAAGAGTTTAAAGAAACTGTTTGTCTTTCAATTTAGAAAGCTCTGCAAAGATTGAATAGACAAAGAGTTGTTAAAAATTGCTGCCAGAGTAGTTGTGGGTGAGACAAGTGTAAATCAAGAGAAAAAATACCGACAATTTAGAAGGAGTCTGCATTCAGTTTTGCACATCCCAGCCTAAAGAAACCTAAAACCAAAATCTACAGACAACACGTCATTAATGTGCTTCATGTAAGAAAGATGACTTGGAACTTCCATCAATAGACTCACTTCAAAGTAAGGCCTTGATGCTTCATGAAAAGGTTCGTGAATGAATAAACATGTACATATTTTAAGTTAAAACTAAATGTTTCAGGACAGTGCTTTTAAATGACTGCATGCTTTATCTAGCCTTTTAAAATTGGTGACTACCAGTATAAACAAATTGAACAGTTTAGAGTGTTCTTATTATATGTCTAAACATTAAAAAAAAATAACTTGTTCAAAGTGCTAGCAAACTGCCACATCCCTGTGTGGCAGGTTAAACTTTTGAATTGCTCTGTGTTGTATCTTACTTCTCTGATTCCCTGGGTCCTCTGACTATTAATACTAGGCTGGAAGGTGAAGCTAATGGGCCTCGGGATAGGAAGGACACAGGGGAACAAAGAAGACAGGAATGAAAACATCCTCAGAAGTGGTTGTTATGAATGTCCTGACTTGACATTGGGAGGACCAGACAGAGGAGACAGAAAAGCCAGACGTAGGAAAGTCTGCAAGGATCAGAGTATAGATTACGAAATAAATCCAAGAGGAGAGAGCTTAAAGGGTGATTCTACAGGAGTGTTTTTTTTGGTTGGTTGGTTGGTTTGTTTACTGGGAAAGCCAGAGATGGCAGAGATAAAAGCTCTGATTGATGGATTGGAGAGTTTAAAAAGGGACAGGATGAGAAAACAGAGTTTCTGATCTTTTTTTGACTAAAAGTACACTAGAAATACAGTTTAATTCTTGATCCTGTATTTAAATAAAGAATACAGCAAGATGTTTTCTTCTAGATGACCCTGTCCTATTGGATCTCACTTAATTTAAAAATTCTGGTTACAAACACAATTATTTCCTGACCTACAGTTCAGAAAACAGTGTGTAAATAATGATTGGTGTGAAGTCAGGCAGTGTGGTGCCCCTGGCTGTCTTCTTCTTTCTCAAGATTGTTTTGGCTCTTCAGGGTCTTTTGTGTTTCTAGACAAATTTTAAAAGAAGGCTCATTTCTCATCCTGTCAACTGCTAGGATTGAAACTTGGTGTAGGCTCAGGTGAGACAGGCCTGGGAGCATCCCAGATCCCTGCCTGAATCTCAAGCTTGGAAAGATGGCAAGCTAATCAGGGAAGCGTCACATTCAGGCTTGGTTCACACTAGAACTGTCGAGGGCCTGGGGCTGATCTGGTGGACAGGTGACCTCAGAGAGCCCCTCACTCCCTGGCTAGGGGAGGAAGGAGAGTTCTGAGTAGCTGCAGAAGTGGTGAGCCATCTGAGGCCGAGGGAGGGGCGGAGAGGACACAGGTGCACCCACTTGATGACCAGCGGCTGTGGTGGGGACCACAGGTGTTAGCGACACTTGGAGGCATGGGGCAGGGACCGGGCAGGTGGAGCTGCTGCTTGAAGACGCCGCGGAGGAGGGGGAGGAGGCAGCCTCGTGTGGGATGCTGGGTAAGTCTCCTAGCATGAAGGAAGAAGATCTAGTCTGACCAGATCTTTCTCAAAGAGAGAACCTCATGCAGAGACTGCAACTTTCATGGCGCCAGGATCCCAAGTTGTCCGTCTGGACTGGAGTCGGGATCTCAAGAGGTAAGCTTCATTTACTTGTAGAAGATGAGAAAAAGTTACATTCCTACATGTGTGATTTGTAACTGCAGACTTTAAACCTGATACACCTGCATGAACAAATATTGGGTGTATGAAGCAGCACACAGTTCCCGCTGGTTTTTTTTTTTAACACTTAGTGCCAATGTTCTAGACACTGTTCTGAACACTGAGTCAGACATGAATCCCTGTTAGGTTGGCTCATTGGCAAAATGAGAAGAGCACAGTACACAAAGATACAGTGTGGTGGGAAACGGGACTGATGCACTGTTATGAATGTGGTATATTTAGGAAGCATGAATAAAAAAATTGCCTGACGTGTTGTTTAGAGGTAACTTACATGGGATGAAAGCAGTGCGCTCCTAAGTCGTTGATTAAATATCTCAAAAAAGAGTGTATGATTATCGAATTTTGCTCTTAACTCTGTCTGGCTGTGGTTCAGGGTCATCGTCAGCACCTCTGAGAAAAGATTCTGGCTCCCCACTCATGAAAACCTGGGGTGTGGCGTGGGCGTCTGTGTGTTCAGAATGTCCCCTTGCTGACTTTGGTGTGGTGGCTGCTGCTGTAGAAAGTTAGGTGTGTGTGTGTGTGTGTTTTTAAGAGATTCTCTGTTTGTTCCTGATTATTCTTTTATGTAGCATGTGTAAGAGAGGAGGAATCATTTAGGTTATTTACAAATATGCTTTCTCAGTGAGAAAATACCCTTAAACATAATATTATCATGTAGCATCCAATTCTGCATTAATTAGGATACACTGTTAATCAACTTTGTGAAAAGAAACTCACAAAACTATGTTTGAAGTATCTTGCTAGGACAGCCTATTCCTAAATCTTGAATGCTGAATATTGTTCTGAGGCAAAGACCGATGTGTTTTGGTTTTTAAGATGCTCGATCCACAGTCATTGGAGCCTCACTGATTTTGTTTTTCATGGTTCTGGTGGCAGGGTGTGTTTGTGTAGGAAATTCTAGCTTGAATTGCTAAAACCAGTAATGCAAATCATACTAGCTAAAAACCATTGGTAGTGGTTGGTTAGAATGGGCTTTTAACTTAGAAATGAACTTTTGTCTGCTTTGAAAAATCTAACAGTGATGATTCTATGCTCAAGACTACCTGGGTGTTTGCTTATTGCTACGATAGCCTTTAGCTGCAGAGGGCAGTGGTGAAAAGTTCTGGCTTAAACAGTTGAAAGCAATTGCTGAAGATCTTTGCTAAGTGAGATTTTCTTTTTTTTCCCCCCATGTTATTAAAATTTGTTTTTATTGCGATAGAAAACACATATAAAATTTACTATCTTGACCATTTTTAAGAACACAGATCACCGATGCTTTTTGGTATATTTACATTGTTGTGAAAAAGATCTCCAGAACCTTTTCATCTGGTAAAAACTGAAACTCTATACCAATTAAACAGCTCGCTTTGCCCTCGCAACCGCCATTCTACCTTCTTTATCGATGAATTCAACTACTTTAGATGCCTTGCATAAGTGGATTCATGGTGTTTGTCCTCCCCGCCCCCCCATTGGGGTGTAGCTGCTTTACAATGTTGTTAGTTTCTGCTGTACAGAGAAGTGAATCATTTACATGTATTTGTCCTTTTATGGCCTGCTTATTTCACTTAGTATTAGGTCCTCAAGGTTCATCCATTTTGTGACTGAAAATTTCCACTGTAGCCAAGAAAGACTTTTGGAGTCATAGTGTCCAGGTTTTTAGCACCTAAGTTTTCTCATTCAAGACCGGACATCCCATAAACCAAATGGCTGGATGAAAGCTGATGTGTTAGTCCTTAACTAGTCATAAAGTTCATCTGTACTTTATTAAATTAATGCCATGGATTACAGCACCTTAATGGACTATTGACTGCAACTTTTAGTATTCTCAGGCTGAGTTTTAAAAGGGTCCAGCTGGTCTAGAGGTGACACCTGAGAACCCTGGATGCTAGCTTGCTATTACTGACCATGGATCTTTTCTTGCTTTTGATTTATTAGTGGTAATTCCTTCTATTTCACTGAGTGGTTGACTAAAAAAAAAAAAAAAAAAAAACACTTGGAACTATTAAACTTTATGGGCTTTTCTTTCCCTTCATTCTTCTAAATAAACCACATTAATCATGAGTAAATTCCTTGAACGGCAGGGACCATACATTTCCATTTTTAGCATTTCTCCGGTTGACTGCACACAGAAAGTGTTCAGTTATTGACTGTCTGCTTTAACAGACATCTTCTATGTGAGTTCATTTTTTTGTTTTCCTAGAATGCTGGAAAACTGTAAGAAGTAGATACCCAATACAAGATTTTCTCTTGCCTAGATCTCAAACTATGGTATGTTTGACCAATTTTGAGCTTTCTAGAAGAAATACTTTTTCCTCCTATTTTTAAGTCAACTTAAGTTTAAGGGAAAGACTCTGATGCTGGGAGGGACTGGGGGCAGGAGGAGAAGGGGACAACAGAGGATGAGGTGGTTGGATGGCATCACCGACTCGATGGACATGGGTTTGAGTGGACTCCAGGAGTTGGTGATGGACAGGGAGGCCTGGCGTGCTGTGATTCATGGGGTCACAAAGAGTCGGACACGACTGACCGACTGAACTGAAATTTAAGGGTTATATAGATAAACTTCAGCTTTCTTGATCTAGCATTATTTCTGATGGTTTAATAAGGGGTTCTTGCAAATGCTCTTCTGGTGGCCTAGGAACAGAAAGGCATCATTTGCTATTCTTTCATGGTTAAAAACTTTTAAAGGTTAGTAGTTGAACTATAAAAGTGAATGCCTGCTATCTAGATTCTAGCTAATATTAAGGAATAATTAATATTACTGGGAAAATGTTTTATATTATTCAAATAGTAGCGTCCCCAAAGCAGTAGTTGGAAAATGTTATCATCTGCAGAACCACTTTCTCCCCCATACCCTCATTTGCGAAGAAGTGAAAATGTAATGTATTTGCTAGCAGTTTCTATGTGGGTATGACCCACAGCAGAATGAGTGTAAATTGATTTAAAACAAGGCAGGCAGAATTATGTTTGGCTTAAAAAAAAAAAAAAAAGTCAAGTAGTTCCAGAACAAAAATTCCATCCATTACAACCTACTGTTTCCTATCAGCCAAATTCAAATTGAATAATAACTTAGAACAAAACA